GTTACGGGAGACCCCCACATGACGGGAGATATGGTCTTGGGATTGCAAGTTACGGTAGATATGCCTCCGGCTGGTCAGCACCGGGCTTGGTGGATGGGGGCACCCCAAACCATCGACATATTAATCGCTTTTTGGTGCCCAAAACACATGCAGACGCCATGCAGAAATGCAGACCGAATCCAACGAACCCTTCATAAGATTTGACCCAAGCGTGGAACACCGAAAACGAGATGAGATGCCAAAACCGTCTCACCGTCGAAAACGATCGTAAACACGGAACATCCGACCACTTCATGGTCAACACTTTCCCCTTTGGGCCAGCGTGACCGAGCCGCCGGGCCCACGGCAGACTTTCCCAGCTAAGGCGCTGGGTGGACTTTTGCTCTCCACCAGGCCCATGGCAGGCACCGGCGAGCCGCCCGCGGGAAGGCAAAAGCGGGAACCGACCGGAAGGGAGCGTCGAGGGAGCATGTTCCTTCGTCGATTCCGCCAGCTTTTTCCTTTCTGAACTTATCAGGTGGGGGGTGGCCGACCCAAACCATAGTTTTGATCCAATTCGCAGATGAACCGGAAAGGTGGTGATTGTTTAATAGTCTAATTGTGAGGATGAGAAGAACTTTCTTGCATACCTGGTTCAAACATGTTCAAGCATTTATTTTCCAGGGGCGTTCTTGGGTGGTCAAGTAGAGCAAACAGCCAACAATTCCTGTACAATAGGAGGCTAACCCGAGCCTGGAGTCTGCAATAGTGCAAGAAAACAAGCCTTCGAACATGCCCCAAGTGAAACAATACTCTTCGAACTGTGCCCGAAATATCTGAACTGAGTCGCTTGGATGGTGGTGCCACTTCCCTGTGAGGTAGCATGACGCTAGGCTTGCATCTTCACAGATGCTCACCGAAAAAGTCATTCGTACCCGAGATCCAAAAACAACAATGCCTGGGCATTTTCCCCACACAATCCGCTAATCCTGTACCAGATTGGAGACACTGAACTAGCCAAAATTTGAACAACTAACTCATATTTTCATATAATCATATATCTAATATATAGAAGTGCTAGGCCAGTTTTTCTCAGCAGAGCTCTGTCAAAACAATGGTAAGCCGGTGAGAGTGGCACAATAGAGAGAGAGAGAGAGGGGGGGAAAGAGATAAGGCTTTAAGGATCAAGGATGCGCCACTTTTGGGTCAGTCTCCTCACATGAAAGCATCCAAGCTCACAGAAATTCAGAAAGGATGTGCAAACACATCCTGGTAAAGGGAATTCACTTCTTCAACTAGTTCAGGGTCTCTAGTTGTATGGATTTCATTGGATTTCTACACCAGGTCACCAGTGGAATCCACAGCTTAAAGTTGAAAACGGAACATCCCTCATGGAACGAACGAGAGTTTTGGCCTTCAGGAGCTGCGTCCACGACTGTGTCGCCGTCACGGGCCCTCAGTGGACCCAACGCTCTGAAGAACCGGTGGCCCAGGCGAGCCCTTCCCCCAAACCAGAGCGTGGCACAAGGGGATGACACTCCTTGAGAACTAAGAATAAGGAAGTGGAGTTCACCAACTGCTTGGCATTTGGATGAATTTGGATGTATTTGGATTTCATGGTCATGCGAACTCGGGGCCATGCCATGCCATCCACGACTTCGGATCATTTCAGTTCCTCCTAGTCCTAGTGGTTTCTTCGTGGTCCTCCCTGCTGGAGAGTGAACTCCAACGAGTGGACGTTCCAACTCGGAATGTTGAGATCCGGTCGCTTTTCGTTTACCCCTTTTCTCAAGTGTGACCGTACCCAAGTGACTTCAAGTGACCGTTCCCGGTCAGAATCCCGGGTACCTTTCTCAAGTGCAATTCACCTTGGATGCTCTCACTTTCCTGGACCCCGTCCGCCTCTTCGGCCTACGCCAGTCTCCTTGGCCTACCAGGGGGGCTCCTTCTTGCTACGCCAACGCCTTAGGTGTCAACACCCGGCGGTGCGCTGGCCTTGGTGCATCTGGCTGCAGGCGAGAAAGGGTCGCGAGTGGGTGCCAGAAGCATGGCCGATGGTTTTGGCGGCCAATCCGAGGGTTGTGGTGGATCTGCAGAGATGTCCAATGAACCAAGTTGCATCATCAGTAATTGGCAGAGATGAATGTGTATGAAAATAGGGATCTCCCAGTTCGACCCGCTGGAAGAAGGAAAATAGACAAAAACCCATTGGTTGAGCAAATCCCATGCTAGATGTCAAGGCTTTGAAGTTGCCCACATGATCTGAGGGACCTCCTGCTTGTTTAGACAACTCTTTTGACTCTTTAGGTTTTTCTCTGCAACTTTTGGTGAAAGTTACCTTCAATTTGTGCAATTCCACTTGGCCAGCTACCTTCGGACCCTCACCTTCATCCCTTCATCTACATTCAGCCGCCTAATTACTCCTCCCATTATGTGGCGCTTCTCATCCTGCCCGCGGACTCTGCCGGGGAGACCCGTCTGAGACCGCGCCAGACTTCACGGTGCTCAAGGAGGAAGCGCTGTGCACGTCCGGACGATGCCGCTCAGCACCGTTGAGGCCGTCGGAAGTTTTTCTTACCTTGGAGGAGCTAAGTCAAGAGATGCCAACATGTCCAATGCCATTGTTGGGTGGCTTAGATCAGTAGATCAGATAGATCGATCAAAACGGTGAAGCTCCCGTTGGAACAAGGCATTGTTTCTATGATTACCGTATGTCTTTGTGTATTTATTTGCAGACCTCGCATCATGAGTCTGCGTGTGTCCAGCCCACCTCGGACGATGCCAGCGGATGCCTCGGCAGCCAAGGCCTTGATTTCACCCTTTGCTGGGGTCCACACGGCGAGTACGTGGCGTCGCTCGGCAGAGAACATCGCTGGCCACGGAGGTCCAAGGCTCAAGCCAAGACCCTAGTGGCCCTAGTGGAGTAGTTGGAGTGAGGTTTCTTTGCCCCTTTCCAAGGCTGGATGGGGCATGTTTGGGCACCGTGGGGCACCGACCCGATCCAGTGGGGTTTGCAAAGAAGTGTAGCAAAGAAGTATATAATATCTTAAAGCATTCAGAGATTGATCAATTTAGTCATCAAGAATGGTTCTCGGAGGAACTTGACAAGGGCCAGCCCTCTCAGAGGTCCAAGATACGGCTATCACCCACCGTGCTTGAGCTCCTGGTGTTCAAGCATTCTTGGCAGAACTTTGCCGCCCCCAAAAAAGGGACACACACAATCACACACACACACACATTTCACATGATTTCATCACTTTTCAACCATTCTTTTCCCACACTAACATACGAAAAGGGCACAGCTTTTCCCGGTTGGACTTCAAGAAGTCCTCTTCACTCGCCGATCGAGTCGGTTCGTGCACTCCGGTCAGTGAGGTCGATCCGCGAGCCCCGTTCGATCGGGTTCAGTGGGAGTTCGGTTCACGCGCGTGGTGTTTTTCTGGTCCTTTCAGGGATCGTGGTGCGGCGCAGGTTCTATCAGATTCTATTTCATGGGTTCATGGTGTAGTGCATGGATCGTAAGTTAGTAAGAACTAGTATTATACATACCTTGTATGGTCGTTTTGGAAAACCTCGCGGCCCTTGTGTAAGTCACTTTCCGATCCATGGATGGTTTGGGCATGGGAAATCCATGTGCATCAGGTTCACGGCCGTAACGGAGTCACAAAACACGGCGTCCGGAACCTCAAGGGAAACGACAGCGGCAAGTGGGGGGACACGCGGTGACACCCGGCATCATGCATCATGTGATGTGACTTGGTTGAGCTTCCATTTCCAACAGATTCCATACAATCACCCGGTAGTATATACACATTCCACAAGCAGCACGGCGTAGAACGTGTCCCATCGCGTTTCCGGTCACAGTTTTCCAGCCTTCAGACTCCATTCACCACTGGATGTGCCTTGAAATGAGCATCCAACTGTCCCACACCCACCGGTGTTCGTGACATGTTGATCAACATCCGCGACATCCGCTGGAGCCGGAAGCTAGACTCATGTAGTGCCAGCCCATCAGTTCCAGCAATTCTTGTTGCCTTCAGCGCCCCCAAACCGCATGCCTTCACTGCCCAGATCGGCACATCTCAATGTGCCACTGTTCGTCATGGGCGCCACCCAGGCTGGTCATCACGCCTACGAAGTCAATGAGACGGCCGCCACTGGTGCGGCAGCGCAGGAGAGATGGGGAGGTGAGCTGGGGCAATGGAGGGGGGGCTACACCCCTGTCTCCAACATGGAGGTGGAGTTCAACGCTGTTTGTGGAGGAAAGTCCTCTTCCTAATGCCCTAGGGACCATACGATCCAATATGATCCAATTCCATGATTGTTGGAGGGAGGGTGAGGGGGGGCTGTCGGTGGCTAGAGGATCTGGAGATGGAGGTGAAGCTACTAGCTCCTTTCTTCTACAGGTGAAACGATTCCCAGTGAAACGATTCCCAAGAAAGTTTTTAGCTACTAGTAGCTTCTTGTTACTAGTAGCGATGGCCTCCAACCTACTTGCGATGGTCTCCACCTAATAGCGCCCTTGCTACTAGTAGCTACTAGTAACAAGAAGCCACTAGTAGCGTCCTTGCCCCCGGCCGATCGAAGCCCCCAGAGGTCGATGTCGGTCGATGGCAATTGATTTGACCGCCCTCAAGTGTGCCAAGAACTTCCTGCCAAAACATTGCGAACCAGGGGAAGATGGGAAGTCATCTCAGGGTGTTGAATCATGTTGCCATATGTTTAATCAAGTGGCCGCTTGGCCAAAGCATGCGGGGGAACTGCCCTTCTGATTGGTTTGGCCTCAGAAAATCTGTGACCCGCTGTGTTCTGATTGCCACCTTTATCTCATCCCTACCATATTTGGTTATACGTTTTGCGTTGTGTGCGTCATCCCGAATGTGTTTGGAAGACGGCAAGCTCCGTCCACCAAGTGGATGGCCTCCGTGCACCATAAGGTGATCCCACTCATCCCCTTCCTGACCCCGTACTACCTGTGCAGAACTGAGATCTTTAGGAGATGGCTCTTGTGGAAAAACCAGGCTCAGGAAAGTTCCGGAACTGGCGAGAGACGCAAGGTTCCGAGTAATTCATCGAGCATAGGGAGCGCACGAACTCCAAACTGTCAGGCTCTTCACCAGGTCCAAGAGGGAAGAAAAAGCAACACATAGCAACACGTTTTTGTTAGGGGGAAGTCGGGGCATCCCTGCACATGTCCTTTTCGACATACTGCGTGGAGACCTTTGTTGTGCCCCCCCTAGGCAACACAGCAGCTTGATTCAATTTCGATTTGTCGCACTCGGGCTCCTGTTCAGCAGCAGTTACGATTTCAAGTGCTACCTGTTAGCCTGACATGATGACAGCAGGACGAGCTCGACTACTCCCCTATGTGTTTGCTATTGGCGCTTGCACCTTCCTGGTGTCAACCTTGAGTTTTGTGTCGTCACCCGCAACGACAGTAGAACGCAGCCGGGCTTTGCGTGCTTTGCCACAGCCTGGAGCCAAGACTGAGGAGAAAAAGCAGGAGAGCAACGGGGGAGAGTTCAAGATGCCCAAGCCTGACATGGGCCTGATGAACCGACAGGCCAGAGTTGGACAATCCGTTGACCAAGACAGGCGTGGAAACATGTGGTCTGTTGAGCCTGCAACAAGGATTAGAACAGATGATGATGGGGGCGAGCTGCTTCCAGCAGGAATCTACTTCCCTATCGTCATTGTGATCACCATCGGCAGCATCGTTGTCCTCGCTCAAGTGCTGGGCAACGACGCCCGCTTCGGTGGCATGCTGGGCGACGATGCTCGCGGCATCAACGAGTGGGGCTAAGAACATCCCCACATTTGAGCGCTGCAGAATTTCCGAACGATTTTCAATCTCACCGTGAGCAGTAGCAGTTGAAGGTAGTAGCACATGTCAATAGTATTTAGTATAGCATTTGTGATTCCAATGTGTTTGCTGTTAAAGGTCTAAAGCTTGTGATGATGTTGCATGCTCACTTTACTCACGTGCGATCGATTCGTTTTCAGGGTGACACCTTTGAGAGTCAGCTCCTTCAAAGGCTTGAACACACAAAAAGAGAAACTGCATGGATGATACGAGTGTCATGTGGCTTTGCAGTTTCATTTGAGCTTCTTTAGATGGATCATGTGGGGTTCACTGCTGTCGCTTGACATGTTTGTCAAGAGATGACTCTTTGATGTTTTTTTGCATGCATTAGCCATCATTAACCTATACCGATACCCATCTTGATTGCTTGCGCATGTTTGGGCAACTGCCACCTCCCGCTGTGATGTTGAAGCTCATTTGGTCCATTGCTCAGGGACCTCCCCTGCAAATCCTTTGCCTCCCATGGCGCGGGCTCAACTGCTCCCCTATGTGCTTGCTATTGGCGCTTGCACCTTCCTGGTGTCAACCTTGAGTTTCGTATCGTCACCAGCAACGACAGTAGAACGCAGCCGGGCTTTGCGTGCTTTGCCACAGCCTGGAGCCAAGACTGAGGAGAAAACGGAGGAGAGCAACGGGGGAGAGTTCAAGATGCCCAAGCCTGACATGGGCCTGATGAACCGACAGGCCAGAGTTGGACAATCCGTTGACCAAGACAGGCGTGGAAACATGTGGTCTGTTGAGCCTGCGACAAGGATCAGAACAGATGATGATGGGGGCGAGCTGCTTCCAGCAGGAATCTACTTCCCTATCGTCATTGTGATCACCATCGGCAGCATCATTGTCCTCGCTCAAGTGCTGGGCAACGACGCCCGCTTCGGTGGCATGCTGGGCGACGATGCTCGCGGCATCAACGAGTGGGGCTAAGCACATCCCCACATTTGAGCGCTGCAGAATTTCCGAACAATTTTCAATCTCACCGTGAGCAGTAGCAGTTGAAGGCAGTAGCACATGTCAATAGTATTTGTATAGCAGTTGTGATTCCAATGTGTTTGCTGTTAAAGGTCTAAAGCTTGTGATGATGTTGCATGCTCACTTTACTCACATGTGATCGATTCGTTTTCAGGGTGACACCTTTGAGAGTCAGCTCCTTCAAAGCTTGAACACACAAAAAGAGAAACTGCATGGATGATACGAGTGTCATGTGGCTTTGCAGTTTCATTTGAGCTTCTTTAGATGGATCATGTGGGGTTCACTGCTGTCGCTTGACATGTTTGTCAAGAGATGACTCTTTGCTGCGGTTTTGCATGCATTAGCCATCATTAATCTATACCCATCTTGATTGCTTGCGCATGCTTGGGCAACTGCCACCTCCCGCTGTGATGTTGAAGCTCATTTGGTCCATTGCTCAGGGACTTCCCCTGCAAATCCTTTGCCTCCCATGGCGCGGGCTCAACTGCTCCCCTATGTGCTTGCTATTGGCGCTTGCACCTTCCTGGTGTCAACCTTGAGTTTCGTGTCGTCACCAGCAACGACAGTAGAACGCAGCCGGGCTTTGCGTGCTTTGCCACAGCCTGGAGCCAAGACTGAGGAGAAAACGCAGGAGAGCAACGGGGGAGAGTTCAAGATGCCCAAGCCTGACATGGGCCTGATGAACCGACAGGCCAGAGTTGGACAATCCGTTGACCAAGACAGGCGTGGAAACATGTGGTCTGTTGAGCCTGCGACAAGGATCAGAACAGATGATGATGGGGGCGAGCTGCTTCCAGCAGGAATCTACTTCCCTATCGTCATTGTGATCACCATCGGCAGCATCATTGTGCTCGCTCAAGTGCTTGGCAACGACGCCCGCTTCGGTGGCATGCTGGGCGACGATGCTCGCGGCATCAACGAGTGGGGCTAAGCTGTTTCAACTTTGTGTACTTGATGCGAGGGGTGGCCTGTTACTTGTTCAATCATCACGTTCTTGATCATTAGATTAACTACACTAGTGCTTGCTGCTCGGCCGCCACCACTGTAGTTTTCTCAGTTTTCAAGCAGCCGACCATGGCTTTGCTTCCGTCGTGCCCGTCTGACTTTGAAGGTCTCAGCTGGGGAAAATGGTCCCAGTCTGGCTTGCTGCTAGGTGTGCTCCAGTCTGTGCTCCACCTTTTGACCTTGAAGAGAGGAGGGCTCAAGGGTCAAACATGTCAAAAGGCTATCACACGATTTCCTCATGATTTTCCCATGCTTCCCTTTGGACTCTTGCGGCAGGATGGTCGATTTGTTATATCCAACTGATTTCTGCCAGTCGCTCGATCCATCATTTGGGCCTCTCTTGCTCGACGCTTGCTCTGTCAGGTGCCCGTCGCCATGCGGTACCCGCTTGGCTTTCCTGGGCAGCGTCAAGAACCAGCAGGTGCTCCGCCAAGGACCCTGTTCTGGTCGAAGCTACCGGGCCTCAATCGGGCGGGGTGAGTGGCCGCCCAGCAGCGGTGCGTTTTTCGGGTGGGTGTCCCACCAACCGTGTCCGTGCTTCACGAAGGAAACTGGAGCTTCAATGAGACCCCTTGCCCCGATAGGTGTCTCCCGATAGCCGAGAGGTGTTCGATGGCCTGTTTGAATTGCCCCGATAGCATGGTGAAGGCGAAGGTCCAATCCGTTTAACTTTCGAATCTTCGGAGCCACCTGGGGAGGGGGTGGTGTAGATGCCAATGCGTGGCTGTGTCCTTTTCGGATTTCCATGCACCGGTGGTTGAAATTGAAGATAACGCCATGGGTCGGTGTTTTTTGAGATTTGACATTGAGATGTTGGCGTGCTTTTGCGGCCACCCATGTTTCAGACTTGTGACTGCATCTGCCTTTTTTTCTCTATTGTTTGTGCCATTTCTAAACCTCCAAAGCCCCTTTTTCCTGTTCCTGAGCCATACCACAGTGCTTAAGTGGTTCACCATTCACGGTGACCTATCCATTTTTATCTATGTGTCTATCATTATTTATCATTATCTATCTATCTATTTGTTTGTATGGCAGGTCTTGATGGTTGCAGATCTCTCTCCGCTCCTCATCTCCCTGCCGCAGGCACGATGGTCGATCGCATGGCCCTTTGTTCTGGGTTTCCAGACCGCTGTTAGACCTGGCCCAAACACACATACACCGACACACCAACACACACGCACATGGATTCTGTTCATTTTGGGCCCCGAGCATATGTGATCATGTCAGTTTCCATTAGGTCCCTATTCGGGAGGGGTTCGAACCTGTGGCAGGAACAGGCTGATGACCCCCGACATGGACATAGACTGATGACCGCACTCCTTCGTTGTTTCTTGGGGACCTCGTTTTCGTCACAGTCTTCCCAGGATGTTGACGGATCCTCTTCGATATTCTCGTAGTGAAGAATTACGTTACTATTTGTTTTTATGTTTTTTTCAAACGTGGCATGGCTGGCAGCGCAAGTGCAGGCAGTTGCTCGAGTGAAGTGCCTGGGCAGCGTCTCTCGACAAACAAAGGTATGAACCCGGCACCGACGGTGACACCCTTGGTACGGCAACTGATAGGAAACACAGCAGCAGTAGGTGACCCTGTCCCAGAATTGCTATCAGGGAAAACCTACACAAAAGCCATAGTTTAGGGTGAAAGCAAGGGGGTTCCTACATACAGGCTTTCCCTGAAACCAATTCATGGACCCTGGTCTACTAGGCACCAGTGGATTGTGCAGAGAAGAAGACTCTATTGAAGTGGATCTTTGAAGAACGGCACCCAAGCCTAAGCCCGAACCTATTGCGAATGGCAGATCCAGATGCTACAAACCTCGAGAAACCCATGAATATATGACTTGATGACTTGAACCTATTGCAAAATGACAGCCGTGGGACGCCAAAGCAGAAGATTGGGAGAGAGGGGCTTTGGTTGACGTCACCTGTGCCATTGACATTGACTGTCACCTGTGTGATCCACCTTGTTGGGCACTGCGATGCGGGCGGGATCGCCGGGGCCTGCCACGGTGTCCGAGCATCGGTGTCCGAAGCAGGGCCGCGCACGGCCTCACAAGGCCCAGTGGCAGGTGAACCTTGGGTTTCAAGTCCATGGTGATGATACGATTTTGGGGAGGCAGGTCCACAAGTTGGCACACCACAGGGGCTCATCCCGGACATCATCTCAGGCAGCACCTCTTTATTTCGACTGGGCACCTCATGCGTTGGTGCCTTAGCACTTCTTGCGTTCGGGAGAGGTGCTGTGGTGCTCCACAGGGTGGTGTTTTGATGAGTTTTTATGCATTGTGTCTGTGTCTAGAGGGAGCACTCTCCTCAGGGCTTAGCCAGTGTGTTAACTTCGTTCTGCTGACACACTTCGCTTCTTGCATGGTCATCCATGGTCATATGGTTGAAGGCGCATTTGTGAAAGGCCAATGACTACGAAGCACATGTGTTTGTCATTGGCTTTCAACGATTTCACGCAAGAAAGCAGAATGAGATAAAACAGAGCAAGTCAATACGAATGTGCTCGTTGATGGACTAAGTCCTACACCATGTAAGACATCATAGTTCCAAGAGTGGCCCATCGAAGAGGGACCTCCTTTCGTCTGACCTGTTGCAAACTAACTGCCATCAACTCCGTTCCAAGGTGCATCAGAAACATTGAGAAACCTCAATCGGGATGAATTCTGTACGGGTCAAAGCCAGACCCCAAATTCCTGGCAGGCTGGCTTCCCTAGCAGTCTATTCTGTTCATTTTTGGTGGTCAACCAAGGTGTGTATCCTGGTTTTGACCCACAGCCATGTCACGTCACTCTGTCCACATTTTGTGCCTGCATGGTGTCGTCCAAGTGTGCCGAGTCATTCACAGGTTTTGGTCTGGCAGGGTCGGACCATAACCCCTCAAACTGACCGGCGCGGCTTGGTGTGGAGGCCAGAGCTGCTGGCAGTTTGCCACGAGAAGAAGTTGGCAGCTGCCCAAGGGCAGACAGAGGGAGGGATGTTCAAGGTGCGAAAGATACCCGATGACATCCAAAGACTAATTGGGTCATCAAAAACCATTCAAAAACCATTCAAAACCATTCAAAAAACCGTAATGTTATCAAAAACCATTCAAACACCGTAATTATGGAGATGGGGCCTCAATGACCTCAACTAACTCATGGCCTCAATGACCGTTCCTTAAAAAAAACCCAACTCGCGGTTACGCCCGACACTGCCTGCGGTTACGCCCGTACCGGTCATCGGACCCTGAGAGACAGTGGGTTCTGACCACGTGAGCTGCGACCCCGCCAGCCTCCGAGCGGTCCGACCCCCGCTGAAGACTGGACCTTGGACGCCTTGGACCCTGAAAAACCACTGAACACCGTCTTTTTGGTGCCATTCGACCCGGGTCCAGTTCAGTTTTCTGGAGTGCAACTGAGTGTCCTTTTGCGAAGTGACACACCATGAAGAACGACCCAAAATGCCGTGAGGCTTCTCCATTTCTCCCCTTTGCTCATCCCCTTTCCATTCAGTCCACTTGACAAGATAGAGCATAAACCAGTTTGGTAGATTGATAGTGTTTCTTGAAGCCAGGAACGTGCACTTGACCCCCCGACAAAGACGAACTCCCAAACGGTTCCAAGTGATAAGACCTGAAGAATCTTGTCATCAAAGGAAGCATTCCATCATATTCCATCTCTTCCATAGTCAGAGCCCCAAACAACTCAGATGTTATATATAATATATAGATTTAGATACTTTTCTGCACACCTGCTGATGTTTCAGCAGGTCCGGCTGGTTGCCGAGCTCCCTGTGGGTCAACGCCCATCTTTAAGGGAGCCCACCGAGGCGGGGGACAGCGGACAGCGGATTGAGCGATGCTAATGGAACGCCAAGGATGCATGGATTGGGGGTCTTAGGTCAGCCGGCTTCACCCACCGAGCTAAACCAAGTGGCAGGTGGTTTGCTGAATTGGCAGGGTGGCTTGCTTCTTTCAGCCTTAGCCAGTCAGGGAATCATGAAGTCATCAGCCGCAGGTTTTGATTGGAACAAGGGAGTCTCGCAGGAGGCTGTCCAGATCTGGCCCTTTGGATAGGCCCTTTCAGTCTTTGTACCTAGAATTAAGCACAACATGATGTTTTTGGGGATGGTGCCTTTGCTGTTTCCATCGGAGCAAGTCCACGTGGTCCAAGACACGTGTTTTCACATGTTTTCGGGCCGTGGGGTGTAGTGTTTTTTTTGTTGGATTCTCCCTTTGGATGACGTTTGAGAACGCCATTTGTTCAGTCTACCTTGAGAAGTGGTGCCTGGCCAGTGAGCGTTCCCACTGGCCAACCGTTGGGGCCCAGGGTCCGAATTCTTGAAACGTCGATCGGGAACTTTCTGACGCATTCCCTCAACAACATCCCCTCTAAGTAAGGGAGGCCGCAGAAGGAAGAATGCGGAAGAGCTTCGCGACAGACTTGCGTGCAGAACATGACGCATGGCCAAGCATGGTTGGCGCACTTGGGCTCACAGCAGTGATTTCAGAGTGAGATAAATAATGATAAATATGAGATGACAGAAGGTGTCATGTGATGCATGCATGGGTTCAATGTTCCCTAGATATCTGAAGATGTACCGAGCATAATTAAACACGCAAATGTTGAGTCTTTCTTCTCCGCCCGGGGCTGACCCAAAGAACTTCCAGTTTAACCTTCCTCCCAGGCCAGGTTGGCCCCCTAGTTCCTGAGCCATTTCTGGAAGAGCTTGACCTCTGCAAGCTTGATGCAAAACACAGAGCTAAACACTGCTGAATGTAAGAGATCCTTTCCCGTGGGATACGGAAGACCCTCATTCAAAACATCGAGTTCAGAGCTAATGCATCACATCGCATTAGGTTATTAGGTTGGAGGCCATCGCTAGTAGTAGGTTGGAGGCCACCGCTAGTAGGTTGGACACATGCTTTCACAACATCGCAGAGCCTTCACCAGAACCACGTGTGGCTATGGAGACGTGGGAACCCCACACCCAAGCATGATCGGAAAGGTTTTGGTCTGTTGGTCCTGTGATATACCTCTCACAGTCGAAAAGCAATTACCGTATCACTAAGTTTTAGAGACAGGCCTTTACTAACCGTCATCATCCACTCTGACTGATAACAGGATAGACCCAAGGA